AAATAAGAGTAAGTTTATAAAAAGAAGCTCTATGCCAAAATCATGGAAATATATGATTCCACTGATGCCAGTACCCTAGTTGCATTGGACTTAGAGTAGGAAGCCCTGTGTTTTAAAAAGGATATGGAGAGGCTGGAGCAGGTATAGAGCAGAACTACAAAGGTGATAAAGAGTGTGGAAATTAAGTCTTAATGAGGAACAGTTAAACGATCTGAGCAAACTTAGTCTGCAAAAGAGAAGACTGAGGAAAGATTGATCTATACAAAAGGGTGTCATGAAGAAGAAAATGTATGGACCCATTCACTGGTAAAACTGAAAATAGGACAGGAACAAAGGATGACAAGAAGGAGAGTTAGAGAGTTGCTCTTGGGAGGAATCTTCTGAAGGTAAGAACTGCTAAGCAGTAGAAAAGTTTGCCTAGATCAGAGGGTGAGCTCCCCATTGTTGGGAAACAACTGAAAGATTAGGTTTGGGGATGGCCTACTAGCAGATTCCTCTACTGAGCAGGTGGCGGACTAGATGATCCTTAAGTCCAATTCATGCATTTTTTATTCCATGATTTACAAAGCAACTATTCACTTCTGGCTGACCATAAATATGACTGACATTTTTCAGGGTAAAAAAAAGTAAAATACAAGAACAAGCAAGCAACTATAAATTTAATTTACTATTTTAAAATGCTTTTGTGAAAAATTTTAAGCCCTTCTCCTTGTGCCTGTGTACAAGGTGAACTTTTTCTGCTTCATGCACTTCAAAGTAGATACCTAAAATTGGACAACACTATATTCAACTATTCACTGTTTTTATATCTGACATTAATGATGGTGGGGGAAAAAAATAAGATCCAATGATTTTTGACTGAATTCAGATGGTAGGTTATTAAGATGTCCTTTCATTTAGGAACATGATCAGTAATTCCAAATACAATTTCCAAAATAATTGCTTATGGACATAAATAATAAAATAATGGGTATTCATTATCCAATAAAGCACAATAGTATTACATTTTAAACTCTGGTATTCTGGTACATTATAAATAAAACTCACTTTGTCGAGATAATTTTCTATATTCTTTCTTCAACCCTTTATATCGGTAATGCGTGGGTGTGCATGCATGTATATGTATATGTATACACACAGAGACAAATAGACAGACGCGCGCGCGCACACACACACACACAAGGCATTCACCTTATTATATTTAAATAGGTTTGGATTTCATTTTAAAATCCTGCAGCATTTGTTTGATAGGAAATGCTAGCCGGATAAAATAAAACATGGTGCCTTGAGATGCATTGGACTACAATATCTTTTATCTCTAGCCACCATGGATTTCTATAGAGTGATGGGACTTGTAATCTAGTGTATTTGAAAGGCAGCAGGTTGGAAGAACCAGTATCTGTGGCTTCAATATATACTTCTGGCACCCTGAAATATCATTTACTTCCACATTTAATGGTTCAAATTTCATTGCTGCTTTGAAGTTGGTTTGGAAGGAGGGGGGGTTGGTTGTTTTGTGTTTTGCTGGTTTTGTACTTGACTTCTCCTTAAGATCTGAGAATAAAACAGTTGCTTTAATGTTTCCTATATCACTTTGGTTTACTTTTCCAAATGCAAGATTCTTATGAAGCACAATTGAGGTTGCAGGATACCGGAAAGGAAGATTTTGCATTCAGGAGCTAAAGGGAGAAGAAAAAACTCCAAACAATTGAAGCTGTGAATGGTCTGAGATGGCTGCTAAACTCTGTCTGATGAGACAATACACAGCTTCCCTGGGGGGACAACTTGGCCCATCAAGTCCACTCTATTTGCAGTTTTATGGGGGGGGGATCATTCCGTTTACATAGGTCCAGACAAGCCTTCCTGGTGGTGATTGGGATGTCTGCAAGGATTTCCTGACCTAACCTGCAAAACAAATTGGTGATGAAAACAAACAGGTGATTGTGAAATCTACTGTAGACCAAAACTGCAGAAATATCTTTGACTGCCAGGGCAGTCTTCCAGGCTTTCCTTATATGACAGGTAGTAGGTGCAGCTTTGTTAATTGTGGTACTTAATAACCCTTGAAACAATCCATTTCTGCAATAAAAGGGAATATTTCATTTGGACAATTTCTGCTTGATATGTAGGTCTCTGCATCATCCTCTGGTGTGTGTGTGTGTGTGTGTGTGCGCGTGTACACACACGCATTTGTTTCTGTGTGTAGATGCTTCCCAAGTGTGCTTTGATCTCAGAAGGAAACTGGACACATCAAATTCCAAGAAACATTAATAACTTTTTAAACAGGAAAAAGACTGGGGGGCATTGTTACATATGACTGAGGAATTATTATTCAAAATGTTTAAAAACAAGGATGATCTCTTTACTGGTTTGCCAATGTGATCTATAAAAGTATACCTTTTTAATGAACAAGGTAGGACACTGTAAAAATGTTTCAAAATTTTTACCAGTTTATCAGAGTCAGACAACAATACACAAACAACAGAAATGACATTTTCTTCCCGTTGCTTTCGGTCAAGCCCACTCAGTCCCTCTGAAACCTTGGATGTCCTCCCCCTCAAAATTGTAAAGAAAATGAAATGTATTTTTTATCCTGGCTACATCTATAATATGTCAGAATATAGATCCAGCATACTCCTCAAAGGGCAAGGTCATCCTAGAACAAACAAATAAACATATCAGCGCAACTCTGTATTCTTTGGAAATGAGGATTTTTCAGAATTAATGCAGGCGTGAAAGAAGAAAAATTATATATTTCTTTTAAGCTGCAAAAAGTCAGATTACCCTAGATGTAAGCATTCCCTTCCTCTGATTGATAAATATCTATGTATATATGTATGTATGTATGTATGTATGTATATGCATGTATGTATATGTGTATATGTATGTATACACACACAAAAAAACAATAGGATACTTTGATTTTCTGGAGATCAGTAAAAAAAGTTAGTAAAGAGTTATTTAGATAATCTCATTTATTTCTGCTGAAATTGATGCTATTAATACAGGCTTCAGTACCATGCTTCTTTTTTTAATAAAAATGAAATTATTACTGAGAATTATTGAATGGAAGAAAAAATATTTTACTGAACTGAATTTAGCTTGGAAATGGGTTTTGCAATGTTATTGATCAATCTAGAAGAAAGAAAAAATAAAACAGTATATGTATAGAGTAGTTTTATCATATTTCTCAGTAATACAAGTCATCTCATTTAGATTTGTTTTGTGAGATTTTGAGTGTAAGGCTTCTCACCTAAATATTTCAAACTTTAAAGAAAGTGTTTTGAAATTCTTTACAGCTGCATAAATTGACTTGATCTGAAATAAGTTTTACAACTTGGCACTGAGGCACGTCTAACCAAATCTTTGGCAACATATAATGTACCTACAATAAGTTGTTTTGCATCTCTCCTTCCCCTAAACACCTGAATCCATCTTTTGTAATTGTGATTGTTGATAAAAATTAAAGTGGCATGGACACTGAAAATGTTCATTTAAAAAGTACTTATCACCACTTATTGCTTCAACTACTTCTAGATTGACTATTTTAAAAACTGTGCAAAAGCAAGATCCTCAAAAAGAGATTTTTTTAAAAAAAAAGATCTATATCCTTCCCATTAAAGCACTGAATTCTTTTTAAATGGGACCAATCCAAGCATTATCAAATTAATCTTTTTAGTATGTCTTTGATCTGACTTCCTTCAGAAGCGATGGAAAATATCAAGTGGATTTCCTGGTTAATCTTAACCCCCTCCCCCTCCTTTTAAATTGAAAGATAATTGGTAGCAATCTACTTGATTATTACTTGATTTTAGGCATTCTATTTAAGCTATTCTATGAGTTGAAAGCTGGTTTGCAGCTTCTTGTGTTGGATTTCTTACGGACAGGCAATAGGCACTAAATGTCAAAACAACCTTGTGCCTAGGCCATGCTCTCTGTACACATTTGTGCCCAGACCAGGCTATCATTAGTGAGCAAGTATATGCTTATATACCACAAGTATGCAACAGTTTCAGGATAAGGACCCATTTGGCCTTTAAATGTTATTCTGAAGGCTGCTTTTTAACAATTGGAGAGGGTAAACTGAAATTAAAATATTAAAGTGATTGATAGCCACATGTTTAATCCCTTTTCCTTCCACAGTTCAGAAACAGTGTTTGGATAGGTTCTGTGAAAGGGTGGAACTTACAGCTGAGGGCTTTCCACAGAATCTCCTTTATGATCATTGTACTGTGTGTACATCTTGTCCCTTTCTTTCCATCCACTTGAGAGCTTTCGTTTTAGAATAATGTTAAGACTGAATGAGAAAGCAGTGTGGAAAGTTTGTGGATTCTGACTTTTGAATAAGAGCGTAGTGCGAAGGCCTGTCCAGGTTCTTGATGAGATATTGCAAACCTTGTGAAAGAAGGGCATGTGTGGGGATTAGACAGAGCTGGGACAAGGAAAATTCAGGTTCAAATCCTCATTCAGCAAGCAAACCAATCAAGGACAACAAGGTCTTTCCAATCTGTCAAGCTTGATGTTGAAATGGAGATTGAGGAGAAATCCTCTAAGGTGGTGGAAGTCTAAAAGTTGAAGTCTACAGTCTTAAGGTTGCCAAAACTAAGAAGTCTCTATTTCATTACTGCTCTTCTCTAGTGTATTAGAGAAAACGTGAACTAAAAATGTAATAAATAAACACATTCAGTTGGCATTATACTATTTTTGACTGCAGAAGCAGTCCACAGCAGGACTGTGGAAGCAAGCAAAATGGGCCCCCTCCCTCCCTGTTGGTCAGAAGATGCAGATCAATTTTCTGCCGCTCGCGATGGAAACGGGGACCGGCGGGCTGAGGGGACCCGACCACATCCATTCAAGTAATAGCGCCGCTCGTCGTTGGAAGGGAAAGGCAGAGACGGAGGGGCGGGACTTAAAAACTCTCCCCAGCCAATGGAAGAGAAGCTGTTTGTCTTTCTTTTAATAGGAGGCAGATCGAGAGCGCAGTTTTGGGAGGCAAAGAGGATGGATTGGCGAAGTAGCGAAGAAGTGATTAGTGCAGGAAAAGCTCCGCCGAGTCTTCAGAAAAGTCCTGAGGAAGAAATCCGGCGCGACCAACTGTGATCTTGACTCTGCCGTTCCCATTATCAACCGGATCTTGACATACGCGCAGCAAAGTCGCGAAAGTTTTCTCGCTCTCTCCAAACTCCGTTAACTATACCGGAGCAAGTCGGGATTTTAAGAAGACGCAGCCGTGAAATTGACTAACTGGCCTCGTTGACCAGGAAAGTGTTTAAGCGTGCGCTGACGCGTCTTTTCCAGTCTGGAGGAAACTCTAAGCGCTCCAGCGCTTCCTCAGGACTTTCTGCTTTCCGCCCTCTCCATCTCAAAACTTTGTTTTCCTCTCCACTCCCCCTTCTTTCCGCCGCTTTACCTGCCGCCGCTCCGAGCCGCGAATCTGTCCCGTGAGTCTTTTTCTTCAATGGGCGCCTTGGATTCAATTAGCGGAGGACCTGCCAATCCGACCGCCGCTGCCCTTACGATGCTGAACGGGGCAGAGAGCCAAAACTTTGCCAAGGAGCCTCCGGACCTCCAGGGAACCACGACCAAAGACTCGGGCGGTGGGGGCGAGCTGAAAATGGGAGCCCCCCAGGACCGCTTCTACTACCCTGATCCCCCCTTGCAGGAAGGCAGCTGTAACTTAGGGCTGACCTATGGAGGCCCGATGGTGCAAAGCGCTTTTGCGGGGAGCGACCCGGCCTCTTCGGGCAGGTTTTTGGGGCCAGCAGCGAACAACTGCTCTTCCTACCGAGGTCAGCCTCCCCCGCCTATCCCAGCGTCAACTGGTCCCGCCGGGAATCCTAGCTTCTCGGTCTCAGTTGGCGAGCTCTATCCTAGCGCCGGAGATCTGTATGCTAGCGCGCCCGCCGGAGAAGGCTGCTACTCGACGGCGGTCCAACACGTGTTCCCGCGGGCTCCTCTCTATCCCGTGCCGGGCTATCAGGTCTCCGGAAAGATCCAGATGGTCCTCAACAACTATCCACTCTGGGCCAAGTTCCACAAGCATCAGACGGAAATGATCATTACCAAGCAGGGCAGGTGAGCCACGCGAGGAGACGCCACGGCTGGCTGGCTGGGGCTGGGCCGCGGAGAACGGGGGGGGGGAGGGAGAGGAAGTTACCTGAGGCTTCGAGAAGGGGGCAAGTGGGGCTCCCTCCGCGAAGGAGGAGAAGAGGGGAGAAGACCCGTGCTTTTTGCTGAGAACTCCAATCCCAGACAGAAGAGGAGCCCGGGATGGGGAAAATCTTGTCTTACAGGCACCAGCTGCCTGTGCGTGCGCTTGGCTGCGAAAAACAGGTGGTTGGCCTGGCAGTTTCTCTGCAGGGCTCACCGAGCAGGGATCCCAAGGACGAGGATAGCGATCCTGATAATTTGTCCAGATTTTTGTAGCCGAGGGAGGACCAATCAGACAGTCCAAATGGCTTATTTCAGAGAAGGAGAAAGGCAGAGAACATTAAGATAAACATTTAAATATTTCAGGGGTGAATTCCCTTCCCATTTGCAGTTTAGACTCTTATCATTCTGGAAGAATCTGTGCTTCTTGTAGAAACTTTTCCTAAACCTTGGTAATATAGGAAAGTTATTTTCCAGTAACCTGATGCCTTCCAGGTAGATGATCAGCAACTTTATATATATATATATTCTTCAACCACTACCCCCATGAAACATATATATCCAGGATTAATAATATTTTATTATAAACATTGCTAACAAGTTTTAGGAAGGCAAATCTGATGTGTCTCATCCGCTGTCAAGCACTATGCAGGGAAGTTAAAAGATGTGACTGCTCTCCTGGGACCCCAAATAGTTTTGTAGCCCCAAGTAATAACTTACACTGGTTTGTTATTATTTCTGTTTAATAACAGAGTAACTAAGGCAAGAAAGCTTGTAACTTTTATTTATTTATTTTTACCTTAAGAAGCAATAGTACAAGGGAAACTGAAAAGGGGGACAGAAAAAACATTTTGGTGCTTAGGAGAATATGGTTTTTGTTCCATGGCTTAGTTTTTTTATTTTTATAAGCAGCATGAAATGAATTTCAATATTTTTCCCTTATCAGAGCTTCCCAAAGTGAAAAAATAGTATAAAAACTATGCTATTAAAAAAAAAGTATGTAGGCTATGCCTGAACAAAGTATCGCTCTGTGTGTGTGTGTGTGTGTGTGTTTTAAACAGTTCTCTTGTTTTCTATGGGATATAATTTTTAAAATCAATTTCAACTAGTACTTTAATCAACTGAAGGTTTAATTAAATATTGTTGATAGTTTAATTCCTAGTTACAGATTCCTTTCTCTCCATTTCAGGGTATTTATATGCTAGTTAAAAAAAGAAAGCTTTAGCTGATTAATCAGTGAGACCAATTTTAATGAGTGTCACTAAGAGTTAGAGGCACATCTGTTTATGTTTGTTTTCATGAGGCTATTTTAATTCTGGTATGCTACTGTAAGAGGGAATAAAAATGAGATTAAAAATGAAATGTGGATTTATAGAGATATTATTAAAGATGCCCTTATATTACAGATTCACTTATTTTAATTGGTGCTCTTATTTCTTAATTTGAGAATTACCTTATACTTCCTTCAATAACCAAAATGTGCACTAAAGAAAGAAATAACATTACTTTGGTTTTCCATTGATTATAACTAATTGAAATTGTATCACTATCTAATTGTCTGGGAAAGAACACAACTTAATTAAATAAGGTAACTTCTGAACAGAAATATGTAGGACCATTTTGTAAATGAACTAACAATGGTCAGATAATAAAAACAAATGTAAACTGGATTAGTCACATAGTCTAAAAAAATGTTCCTGATACCAGCACTGAAATTTCATTAAACCAGAAAATTTGGGTGTGTTGAGTACTGGATTCTCCACATAAGTATAAGGAAAAAGAAGAAATATCAGGATGTCTTATAAGTTTCTAACATGTAGCAGAAAGAACACTGTAATTATGGAATCATTCATATCAGACATAGCATTGCAAATACAGAGAAAAATCAAAAGTATGAAAAATGCAAAGAACAAATGTCACAATACATTTCTTATAGTTGAGAAGCATTTTATTTTACATGTGGAATCTTAATTAAATTTTGACAGTCATTTCTCTATGGACCACCTTTTTTGAAATATTACTCAGTTGTCCACAGTTGGATGCAATTATTTATAAATTGCTTTAAACTACTTTGACCTTAGTAGCTTACAGTTGTTCTGAAAAGCTCAGAATAAGTGATGCAACTTATACTGTGGCTACTTTAAAAAAAACAACTTCAAAGTGATAGAGAAAGGTAGTCTATGAATTGACCAAAAGTTCTTAAATCATCAAATCCTAATTTACACAGTTCTAGTTTCTACATTTTCCCACTTGACATAAAAAGTGTTAAAGTTGCTTTCTTGTGGTGTTTGTGGGCACATATTTGTCAAAACACCTTTATAAATCGTGGTTAAACATGCAACTAACCAATGATCTCCCAGCACAGAGCTAGGAAAATATATACTTTTTTTCTCATGTGAATATGTCAGCTGGCTTTTTAGTTGGGTCAGAAGAGAGATCAAATTTGATTGTTAAGATATAGCTTGATTCTACAGAGAGCAAGGGCACGTGACAATATAAACAATAAAGAAGCCAAGTATATATGTTTACTTTATTTGAACTTGATTATGGAGAGACAAAGTTAGTTTAGCTTTCTGATCTGTTTTCTAACAAGTCATAATCTTTGGAATATCTGAAGTAAGTGCCACATGCCTTGGAGAAGTTGTAGAATATATTTCTTTTATCCTGAGGAACTACAGAGGGAATGAAGGATGTACTGCCAAGAAATCTTTTTCTAGAAATGAAGCTCTGAACATACCCGCTTGCTCTCATACAAACATGTCTTGGCATGTATACAAACATGTCTTGGCATCATTATTTACAGAATGGCAGGGTTGGAGAGACCCCAAACCATTCCAGACATATGGCTACCCAATCTTTTCTTTAAAACTTCCGGTGTTGGAGTACCCACAGCTATTGGAGGCAAGCCACCCCACTAATTAATTGTTGCCATTGTCTATGTTGTACTTTGACTTCATCTCATCCATCCCCATGACTGAGGCAGACTTAAGTCATCCTAAGTAGTCTCTCCCAGCCTGTTGAAGGTTTGTCTGCCACTTCATTGTGAAGAAGTTAGGCGATTGCACTGACTTGAAACAGACACTATAAACAGGGTAAAATTGGAAATGAAGTCAGCAAATGCTATACTCCTTGCCAATTCAAATGTGGCTAAATTATAACTTAGGAACAGGGAAAGGTCTATACCAGTGGTAGCGAACCTATGGCACGGGTGCCAAAGGCGGCACTCAGAGCCCTCTCTGTGGGCATGCGCACCATCGCTGGGTTTTATAAAATCTTTTCACTTTAGGCCTCTGCCACCATGTACAAAAAAAAAGGTTCAATCAATTAGTCAAGTTTAACTTCTAGCGGGGGGGGGGATGATCTTGCAAGTTGAAATTGATTGATTGAACTTTTTAGTCCCACCCAGTCTGCTGTCACCACCGCAGCCATGCCCACCCAATGGGCCACACCCACCCGGCACCCAATGATGCATAAATGGGTTTTGGGTTGAAGTTTGGGCACTCGGTCTCTAAAAGTTTCACCATCACTGGTCTGTACTGTACTATACTATACTATACTATACTATACTATACTATACTATACTATACTATACTATAGTGGTTGACTAAGGCAGTAATTTTGGGGTGCAGCAGCAAACTCATCCTGTATATTTATTTATATAATTTTAATATTTAAAATATCAATTTGTATATATTGTTTTTTAACTTTGTTGTATGCTGCCCAGGGTCTTTTGACTGTGAAATGGACAGCTATAAAAATATGTTGTTTGTTTGTCAAATTTAGGTAGTTGTCTATCTAACCAGCAAAATTCTGGGCTGTGAACAAAAATAAAAACATGGATCTATTGCAAGGAGATTATTTTCAAGATATATTTTTTTTCTTCTCAATTATATAAGGCTGCCAAATCAAAGCAGCAAAACTCTGACAGACCATTAGAGGGCAGCAAAGAGTTGCCATATTCTGTACTTTCCTCTGGCCAGCGGATGAGGCTTATTCATTTCATTAGTGGAATAGTATTTGTCCTTAAAACAGAATTCCAATCAGAAGATAATTTAGGTGAAATTCTCTCAATTGGTGTCTTGCATTTATTTAGTAAAGAGTTGGCAATGGGTATATCTGAATGGCTTTTCTTGCATTGTCACCCTGCTTCTCACAAGACAATAAATTCCAAGGCAAAGTGCGATCACAGAGATTCCTCCCATTGATTTTTAATTCAAATAGCATGTTTGGGCTCTTGGGGCAGTGGACTTCAGTGAAAAAATATGTGCAATAGCAAATAATTATAGCCAACAGAAGTTTCTTCTGCTGACTCCAAGAAGGGAAATTCAGAACAAACTTTTAAGGACCATAAACAGAGCAAATTAAATAAGTAATGCACAGGAAGTGGTGGAAAAAAGGTCAGGCTAAAACATCTGGAATAAGTGCAGATTTTACTGCACTTCTATCGGTCAAAATGCACAGTACTTAAGGATTATCTAGTAATTCTGGTTTCTGAGAAAGGAGCATCTCTTCATAGACCAAACCACCCTGATAACTGTCATCATCATCATGCCTATTGGTTACCCTTTCGTGACATTGTGTTTAAATTTTAGAAATTGGAGGTGGAAGAGGGAGGCATTTCCTATGCACAAATTCAGTTTGTGCCTGTGTATAAGTCAAAGATTACACAGAAGAACGGCTCTGTATTTTGAATAAACCAGAAAAAGATGTCCCTTTTGAAGCACAGATTGGAGAAGATGTTGGGGAAGAGAAATACGGGGTGGAACATATCAGAATTGTATTGTTATAGTTGCATATTCAGTCAGATATTTGGGCATTTTTATTCACCTTTCCAGTTGTTCTCAAGGACCTGAGAAAGGTAGGTGCTATTCTTTGATGATGTTCAAAGTATTGTAGCATGATGTAAGTTGTTCCAAGTAAATCTG